TCCTCTTGCCTTCGGAGTTGTTGACTCCGAAAACAATAATGCATATCATTGGTTTTTTACAAATTTGAAGGCAACGTTAAGCGAGAGAAATGGATTGTGCATCGTGACAGATCGGCATCCAAGTATATTGAACGCTGTAACAAAGGTATGAATATAAAATCACAACATGTTTGAAAAAAAAAATCAATCTGTAATTTAGATATAATATATATGTGGAAACTTAAAATTAACTGTACATCAACAAACAGTATACCTGAAGAATGAATAATGTTATTAATTGAAAAAATCAATTTCTGAAAGAGAAGTAATAATTATCTGAATTCTTTATGCTCAGGTATATCCAGAAGCTGCTCATTGTTGTTGTGCATATCATTTGTCGAAAAATATCACAACAAAATACAAAGAAAATCTGGATACAGTGAAAGGTGCTTTCTTTGCGGCGGCATATTGTTATACAAATGATGAATTTGTTCATCATATGGAAGTTATAAAGAAGGAAAACTCAAGGGTGTTAGAGTATTTGACTGAAATTGGATTTGAAAAATGGTCTCGTGTACATTGCAAGGCAAATAGGTTTTTAGTAATGACTTCAAATGCTGCCGAGTCAGTAAACTCTTCTATGAAAGTCGCAAGAGAATTGCCAATAACAGTGCTACTAGAGACCATTCGTAGTATGCAGCAAAATTGGAATGTGAAGAATCGAAAAGAAGCACAAAGCACCTTCACGAAGCTGGCAAAATTGGGGCAGAAAATGCTTGAAGAAAACTATAAAGCGTCCATGAAATTCACTGTAAGTATATAGTTATAAATATTCCATATCATACGATATTGAATATTGTTATTAACTTGATTGGAAAAAAAAATAAAAATGAACAGGTAGAAGAAGCAAGTGAAGATATTTTCAACGTGAAAAATGGTTCTCAACATTTCATTGTTAATCTAAAGGAGAGGACATGTTCATGTAATAGATTCCAAATGGATGAAATTCCTTGTCCACATGCTGTAAGTGTGATAAGAGGAAAGCATGAAGAAGCAGAAGATTATTGTTCTCATTACTACTACACAAGCACGTTGTTGTCTACTTATGACGCATCAGTATTCCCGGTAAACTTGGAGATGACAAATGCTGTTTGTGAGGCTGAAAATGAGATTCAAATAATTCCACCGGAGGAAATTACACTTACTGGAAGGAAGAGAAAGAACAGATTTTTATCGGGGTGGGAACATGGAATTAAAAAGTGTAATGGTTGAAGTTGTGGATATTGGAAAAGGATGATAATGATGTTTGATATTTAACTTATATTCTGTTTATTTTCTAGTATATTTTTGTGAAAAATGGTTTTGTATATTAATGTATTGAGAACTATTCATTCAGTTTAAATAATTGCTATAAATTTTTTAAAATGAAAACATATCGAGGTTCATGCCACATAATATATAAATAATTACGATATGACAAGTAAAAAAGAACTCGAATTAAAAAGAACACATATTATTGTTCATACATGTTCATGTTCATTGTTCATATTATTCTTTAAAAAGGTTATTCATCAATAAAGAAAAAAATATATGATAATCACAAACATTAAAAATTAGAAACTGTAATTACTGAATCAATAATTTTGAACAAGGACATGCAACTGAAATGAAAAATGTACAGTTAAAAATGTTATAATAAACTATTAGTAAACAGTAATCTTAAAAAAAAATA